TCGAGTATGCAGGTTTCGCGTCAATCGCGCAGACGCCTCCCGAGGGGGCCAGGGTGGGGGCGTTTCGCTGGCGTCAGTCTGGGCGCCGTGGCGCGTTGCAGCCGGGCGACTACGTCGCGCGAACAGGAGCGCGTCCTTTGCAATGCCTTGTGCGTCGACAGGCGCCGGCAGAGGCAGGTGGCCGAGGCAGCTCGCAGCGACGACATCAAGCGCTGCATGTGCCCGGGATGTTCCTGGATATACTTATGTGAGGAATTGGGGATGCGCGTGTGACTGCCGAGACATCGGCCGACGGCCAGGGTTGCGGTTTTGTGCGACGCGCGCGGATATTCGCATGATAGGCGTGGAGAAGCCTCTGGCAGATGTGCAATGATTGTCCCGCCGCGTTGGCGACGGCATGGGAATGCATGCCTTTCAGCAGCTGCGTGCTCATGGCCATCTTGGCAACAGAGTGGATCCATTCCAGGGTGCAAATCAATTCGACGAGGACAACTACGACTAGCAGAGAATACTTCGCTGCCAGACGGAGATTCTAAACGCATGCTACGTTGTCCCGGAGATGCGGCGCTGGCGCCTCGACGCCGGCGCGCGCCGCGAGTGCTCCGCGGCAGCTGCCAGGCTCTGATTTGTTTGGTTTGTCGGTGGATGTCAGGGGGCGAAGCGCGCGGCAACGGAATCCCCGCGGCTCTGGCAAACGACAATTTCGCGGGGTTCACCTTTGACATCCTTGCGCGCGATATATGGCGTGACGGCTGGAGGCTGCTACAGTGTCGCCGTGCTGGGCGAACGTTCTCAACTATCGCGTTGAGGGTGATCGGGGTCGATCGTGGGCGTCTGATGAATGAGGATACGCAGAAGCAGAGGCGTCGGACCGTCGTCAGAGGTGGCTGCGCCAGCCACCGCATGCCCCGGGAGGATGTCCTCGAGTCGCTGGAGAAGAATGTGGAGGACCGCGACTTCGCGACGTGTCCGCTTCGGCAAGAATGCTTGAAGTACGTCTTGCGAGTGCACCTGCAGGTGGCTGGCGTGGACATGAAGAGGCACCTGGAGCAGGTGTCGGTGTGGCCTCGCGTTCGGGTGCGTCTTGCAGTACCCCATCGGACAGAGCCATCTTGTGTTCCACGGCAGGGGGTCAGCCGCTGAGCTGCAGGAGAGTGTGCAGGGTGATCTGCAACGAGTATCCCGAGACGGAGGCGGGCAATCCCGAGGGCGACCGTGACGGGGCCGCTCTAGCGCTCATTCGTTCTTTGCTCGAAGAGTCTGAGTAACGAGAAGACGCGGGAGATGGCGAGCTCATTCGAACCACAAAAGACATTTCGCATCTGCAACGCGAAGAACGCCGCGCCAGGCGAGGGAGCGAGGTCTCTCGACAAGTGTCGCGAAGGCATTCGGCCGCGCGTAATTTGCGTCGGCAGGAGCGCTCAGTCTGCCGGCGACCCCTCTTCGCGGAGAGAACGGGCTCCAACGGAGCTTGGTCGAATTGCAACTCCAGACCGGGAACGAGATGATTCTTCAGTTTGAGACATCCTATTTCTCAGAAGCGCTCCGGTTTGTTCCCCCGCGCGCGCAGCGGGTCTAATTTCTTCCAGCGAGTGGTCAGCTGCTCCGATGATGCGGCGCGCGGCGTTCGCGTGGAGGTCCGAGCGCGCGATGGGCGCGCTGTGCTCTTGCGGAGGAGGGGCCTGCTCGGCTCTCGCTGCTGACGCCCCCGACCAGGTCGCGGCGTTGAAAAAGCTCCGCTCGGGTCTCTGCGGCGGCAACGCTGGCGCAGGAAGTGCGGGCGCGAGGGGATTTGTCAGCGCCCCGTTCGAGCAATCTCCGAAGTGTTTCTTAAGCTTTGGGTTTTCTGTTGGCGGCGAGCTGGTGGAGGCAGCGGTGGCGGGTGGAAGTATAGGTTGCACAGCGAATTGCGACGATGTTTTCGAGGGTCGCCTTGGTTAGTTGCGAGCGGTCGCCCAAACCTTTCTGAGCGACGACGAGCGGCGGTGTTCCCCGAGAGCCTCTGGAGCAGTTCGGACAACGGGGTGCGTCGTCGTTCGGCGGCAAGGAATCGTTCGGCGCCAAGATAGATAGTGCGTCAGTTGAGGTCAGTGGAGGAACGCTGCCAAAAGAAGAGGATGACGGTGCTCGTCGGAATTGTTTTGAAACATTTCGGAGAACCGCGTCGTTCGAAGATGTTTTCCTGTGTTCTGATTCCTTGGGGTCGCCCGCAGGCCGATCGCCGGCAACGTCGCGCTGCTGCCGCGCGCGCAGGGGCTCTCGTCGCTGGGGTGGAATATCGCCGGACACTTCGCGCACCCTGGCGGTGTGCTGCCAGGAATTCAGCAGTTGCGACGCGCCGTGAACCGTGGCGACGACAGGCTGCCTGGCGGCGGCATCTCCGGCGGCGTCGCGGCCGTCGGAGGGTGGCGCCGAGAGCCAGGGTTCGGCGCCCCGCGCTTGCATGTGAAGATGTGCGTTGCGATCATCTACCATGCCGGGGCGATGCCCCATGTAGCTGAAGCGCTGAAGAGTAGAAAGCTTACGTACGAGCAGTTTTGACGCTACCCTGAGTCGATCCACGCAGAGAAAGTGTTCGACCAGATGGTGAAGGAGAGGGTGCAGTCGACGAGGGGGGAGGGTTGGCGTGCCATGTGGGCAGGGCCGGAGCGCTTCTTCATGTCCCAGACCGCCGGCTTCCTCGCGGAGGGTGCCGCGGTGCCATCTTCCGACAGCGTCGCCTCGTCGACGGAGATGACGGAGGAGAACAGAAGGGCGCTGATTCGGGGCGGGAGCAAGTCCAGGACGAATTTCTTTGCGCTCGTGCAGAGCGTCTTCATCAGAGCGCAGCACCACGTGCGCATGCGAACTACGAAGGAGTTCCCGAAGTAGACCGCCGTTGATGCCAAACTCCCGCGCTCGCTGCTGATTAGCGCAGGCGTGGCCCATAAATTCCACCAGAGAGTGTGTCAGGGCAGAGGAATGAATCTGTAGGGGGCTTTGTTTGCAGCGTCAAGTTTTGCAGCGGCGTTCGGCAGCAGCGCTAGCGCGCTGCCGAACTGGCGACTGTTGCCGCGCGCAGAATCCACGAGGTCGACTATATACTGCCCGAGCAAGAAGTGCCGCGAGAGCATGGGCGACGAGCGAATGCTGGAGATTTTGCGAAACTGACGCGAAGAGCTCAGAGGCAGCGCGCGGGCTATTATTGCGGTTGCACCCTCAAGGGTCAGCCTGTGGGCACCAGACACGTTCGGCTCTCGAACGTTCCGAGAAGTTCCTTCGAGGCTGTACTTTCTTTTGCTGCTGAATCAGATGTGCGCGTAGATGGCGCTGGCGCTGATCAGGCACTCATGCTTGCGTGTCCGGAGTGCGGCCGACAGTGCCGCGGAGCTAGAGGATTAGACATCCGCCGGGAGAAAGCACGCGGCGCGGTAGTTGTCCCTGCGGCCGTCGGCGTAGAGTTCGTTCGCGCGAAAACGTTCCCTCGCTGTGCGCGTGCATTCGCCCAGGTGGATAGCCTCGTCAAGCGCATCCGTCTGAATTGTTGCCCGACAATTTTGGGAAATCCGCCTCCTGATCAACCGGGCGTGGCGAGCACGCGTGGCCAGCGTGTTCGATTACATGTGCGCGCGGAGCCCCAGCGCCAGCGCGTGAACACACGGGGACACGATGAGCATCGGTTTCTGGCCGCTCCGGGGATCATTCATCTCGGCTCGAGATCTGGCTCTCGCAGTCGCGCGAGCCCGTCCTGCCGGTTTTGCTGCGCCGCGCGTCGCTAGTGATCATGTTCGCTCCGATCGGCTCCTAATCGAGTTGGGGTCAGGGAGTCTGGAGGCCGCGGGGCGAGGGCGCAGCAGGGGCAGCGGAGGACGACGGGGCCGCGGCAGGCCCAGGGGGCGTGCGCAAGGTGGACAAGCTGTTCGCCAAGCTACTCCTTCAGCACCAGGCGAACTTCAATTCGAACTCCCGGGAGGACAACCTCACGCTCACGATGGCGACGGACGACCCAGTGGCGGTGGCGCTGGCGGCCCTTAAGAGCGCCTGCAACAAGGGGAAAGAAGGCGAAGGAGGAGACGGAGGAGGGGGCGTTCAAAGGTCACCCCGACGGGAAGAGGCCTGACTACCTCGTCAGGGCCGTCAATGTCCGGATCGCCCAGGCCGCGGCGGCGGAGTCCGCGGAGGTAAATGCCGCGGCCGGCAGCGGAGCTATTGCGCAACAGGCCACCGCAGCCCTCGAGACCCTGGTCAAGTACGAGGAGATCGTACACACTCCCCAGGCGAGGGTCGTGGCGACCAGGTGCTTCCACGTGACCGTGAAGAAGACCGACGAGGAGACGGAGGACAAGGAGGAAGACGATATCCGTTGGATTTTCGCAATGAGCTAGTTATCTCCGCGACTTGAAGGAAGCCCTCGGCGTGCTCCGGGTCAACGGCTGCCTGGCCGCGGCACGCTTGAACCGATCTAGACGACGGTTTTCATGTCGAAGGGGGCCAAAGGCGGGTCGAAGAAGAAGGCTAAGAAGGCCAACTGAGCATGGTTGTCGACAGGGACACAAGTTTACATGAACAGTGCATGGTCCAGGGAAAGTTCCCTTCGAAGCTGGGGGGGGCCTTGTCCACCCAGGGGGGTGATGAGCCGCCCTCACAGAGCCGCCTTCGCAGAGGCGGAGGCGCGTGTGGACGGGGTTGACGTGGTTGCCGGAGCCTGGAAGAATGTGGTGGCTGCCGCAGTCGTGTGCCTCTCTGTGCGCGTCTCTGTGTGTCCGCAATGTTGTATTTTCCAATCATTCAGTATGTTAGCGCCGAACCGCGAGATCTGCAGACGGTGATGAGGGTGTCGCGAGTATATATATATATATATATATATTCACACACACACGTATATATATATATATATATATATATATATTTATTTATTTATTTATTTATATATATATATATATATATATATATCGTTGCCCTGATGTCTGGGAGTGCATTGCCCAGATCTCAGGGTACGTGTCGAGTTGGCGTCCTCCCAGGCCTCGGGGCCAGCCGCCAGGCCGCGGCAGCTGCGCTCCCCGGCCGCGGCAGCTGCGGAGGTGTCGCGTGCGGGAGATTTCTAGGCCTCGCAAGTGGGGTCAGATTCGATGGAGTCGGAGGATCGCGCCGTATCTCCGATGCATCGGCCATGCAGCTCGATGCGGAGCCCGATCTTCTCCGCGCGGACGTCGCCGCTGCATCGCCGACGTCGCCGACGCATCGCCGATGCACCGCCGATGCATGGCCGATATCTAGTCAATGCGACGCGATCCTCCGACCCATCTGCTCGGACCTCATTTGGGAGGCCTCTAAAGACGTATCCGTGTCCACAGCCTCGTGGGCCGCGCCCAGGGCCCAGGGTTCATTTTGACCCCTCCGATTCGATTCGGTTCGATTGCGATCGACTTTGATTTGATTCGATTGCGCATTCCGATTTGGATTTTGGCTTCTCAATGGAGCCTTGCTAGCCTGTCGATTTTCAGCCGGTCTTCTCCCGACTTGGCTGCCGATTTTCGCTGGTCCGATTCATTTCGATCGCCGAACCGAGTTATCGATTCGATTCTGGACTCTTCCTGCCCAAGCCGCGACCCCGTGGGTACGTGGTTTTTTTTTGTGGATGCCCCGCGCGGTACGTATCCGTGCGACCGCGTATCCACGGGATCGCGCCCCAGAGTCTAGGCCGCCAGGGCGCGGACATGAACAGATTTTTTTGTATCTACTGGCAATAACGGGCGTGCCCAGGGGGGAGAGGGGAGGACGGGAGTGCGACGGTCATGTCACGATTCGCGCCAGCGCCGTCTGATAATGCCTACGAATAATGGCTAATTCCTGGGCGGCGCCAGGTAACTCCGGCATGGGAATGATCCGCGCTCGTCCATACATGCCGATGCCGTGCGCACTGAGATACACAGCTATGCAACACGACTTCCCCGAAGGGAGAAACAACAGAGAACGAAATCACGGCGCCTAACCTCTGAAATATGATCAGGGAGTGTGTGTGTGTGTGTGCGTGTGCGTGTGCGTGTGCGTGTGTGTGTGTGTGTGTGTGTGTGTGTGTGTGTGTGTGTGTGCGTGAACGCCATTTTAAGTATGAGTTGCCGTCTTCCCTGGCTATTGATGTGTTCGTGCCCATCAGTGGCCGCTAATCGGCGCTGATGGACGCTGTTGTGCAATGGTGGGCTCCAACGTGCGCTACAGGCGCTCAGAGGGACACTGATAAGCACTGATAGGCGCTGGTATGGCGGAACCTGCCAATCACCCTCACACATAATACACAGAAGGGGTGGGGGGTGCGGGCCCGATCTCGCCGCTCGCGAAGGTGGCCGCGGCGCCCCGCCCAGCCTCTGCCGCGCCGGCGGCGGCCGAGGCGGAGGAGGCCGCCTCCCCGCTGAGGTGGCTGAGCGCGGGCCTGCTCGCCGGGGTGGTGCTCGCGGCGTGCTCGTCGCCCGCGGAGGCCCTGGACCGGGACAGCAACGCGGTGAGGCCCACGCTGGACGTCGGGCGGGGAGGGCGTCCCGAGCCGTCTCTCTCTCGGGCATGCCGCGGGAGCGGGCGCTGGAGGCGTGAGCACGCGGGCCGCCGCCCGCGCGCCCCGCGCTCCCCGCGGCACACCGAGAGAGAGAGAGGGGAGGAAGGCTGAAGGCGGCAGCCGCAAGCGAGGGCGGCAGCAGCGCGAGCGGCAGCAGCGGCGTCCCGTGCCTGTGCGACCCCCCGATCTCTTGGGGTGGATTTTTTTTCGGGGGAAGCTACGGGTGTCTGTGTGTGTGTGTGTGTGTGTGTTGTCGGATGTCGGCCCCCGCTCCAACGGAAGCCCCCCTCGCGGTCCGACAGCTCGCACGCCTGCGACATGGCGCCTTCCTTGCCTTGCCCCTCCCTGTCTCTCCTCCCTGCAGCTTGGGGTCAGATCTCGTGGTGAACAAGCCGGAGGTGGATAGACCTACCCTGACGCGTCGATCCATGAATCGGCCGTTCTCGGCTCGCGAGAGGGCGCCGCGGCCGCTACTTTTGCGGGTCCAGGTCCCGTCGGTTTCGGTCCCAGGCCGCTTTCACTAAGGGGAGGTTCACTGAGGAGGAGGAGGAGGAGGAGGAGGAGGAGGAGGAGGAGGAGGAGGAGGAGGAGGAGGAGGAGGAGGAGGAGGAGGAGGAGGGGTCTGGGGGGGGGGAGGGAGGTCGCCCCTGAGGTCCTGGCGTCGCCCCTAAGGGAGGTTTGTCCACCGCCGAACAGGGGGGGGCCGCGGCGGGAAGCTTTTGGGCGCTCTCGGCCTCATGGGGACCCCCGCTGGGCCTCAGGGGGCTCGGAGGCTGGCCCGGGAGGGAGCACCCGTCTTGGGGAGGGGGCGCTCACCACCCACCAAACCACCCCAACCCAACCCGAAAGCTCGAATTTACAGTCGATTTCCAGTGGGGGGGGGTCGGGAAACATCGAAAAAACACACGTGGAACTCTTACCCCCCCCCCAACCCGAAATTCGGGTCTTCGGGTTGGGTTGGGGTGGTCTGGTAGGCAGTCAGGCACGGGCCCAGGGGCAGCCGAAGACCGACCGGGGTTGTGATGTTCCAGCCTACCTTTCGCCTTGCCCACCAGGAAGGGTTTCGAGCAACAGGCAAGTACCGCAGCTCGAGGGTGTTTCACGCGCCGGGCTCCGGGAGGCACTCGGCCGACACTGTTTTTCGACACTCTCTCGACACTTCTCTGGGTGCTCGAAGTTATTCCTGGGATGTGGTCCTCAAGTCGGATGGGAGCAACAGAAGACCGAGGGTGAAACCGATCCTGGGCTGGAGGGGTCTCGGGGCCCGCGCGGTGCAAAAAGAACACGACGGCGGGGATTTCTGGGGATGCCGATGCCTTTCGCTCGTGTTCGGCTTTTTTTTGGGGGGGTCCTCTTCGGGACTCTTTAGCGCCACGGCCGGGCTCGCCTCGGGAGTCCTGGTCAGGCCGCGCCCCAGAGGTCAGGAGGGCAGCGGCGTTGTAACTTCTGCTTTCCCCCGAGGACAAGTTCACGATCAAGGCCGCGAAGTACCTGGAGCTGTGCAAAGACAACAAGAAGTACGCCAAGAAGTGGAAGGACAAGTTCTTCAAGGTCGACTCGAAGCTGAAGAAGTACCCTCAGGACACCGCCGTCTACAACCGCCTGCTGAAGAAGAAGGCGGGCCTGGTGAGGCGCAAGGAGGCGTACGGCGAGCGCCTCTGCGGCAAGAAGGACGGCGTCCCGCGCACCATCGCCACCGGCGAGTTCGTCCGCGGAGGCATCATCCCGTCTTCGCTGGCTTTCATCTACACCACTGGCTGGATTGGCTGGGCCGGGCGCAGCTACCTGCGCCGCACGCTGGATACCAAGAAGGAGATCATGATCGACGTGCCCCTGGCGCTCACGTGCATGGCCAGTGGCTTCGCTTGGCCGACGTACGCGTGGCAGGAGATCGTCAACGGAGAGATGGTTGCCAAGGACGAGGACATTCACCGCTCCTTTTTCTGAGGAGGCTCTCTCAGCTTCTGTGATCTGGGCGGTGAGGGCTGCGACGCCATGCGGATGTCACCCCGAGATCTGAAGCACGATGCCGTGGAAAGTCACGACGGGAGCTCTCGACCAGCTCCTCCTGCAGCATCTCGCTCTTCGAGCCCGATCGATCCGTGAGGGCCCCAGGGCCCGAGACGGGGCGGAACACGTTCGGCGCCCAGATCTCGGGGCCCCCGCATCGTGCGGCCGTCGCGCTCGCTCTGGTCGGCTCACTGCCGCTCCTTCCCATCTTGGTGGGCCAGCTCTCCACCACCACTACCACAGGTAGGACGCGGGGTAAGGGAGGATGGGGAGGTCCTCCTCCTCCTCCGTCTCCGTCTCCGTCTCCGTCTCCGTCTCCGTCTCCGTCTCCGTCTCCGTCTCCGTCTCCGTCTCCGTCTCCGTCTCCTCCTCCTCCTCCTCCTCCTCCTCCTCCTCTTCCTCCCTCTCCTGCCTATGGTTGTGGTGGTGGAAAATCGGCCCATCACATCCGGGGAATTTCGTCAGACTTTTTGGGTCGCGCCGATCCCGGCGGCGCCAGCTCCTCAGCGGCTCGGGCGTCTCCTACAGGGGGGCGATAGTTGTTGGGGGGGGATCGAGGGTTGCATGAGAGGGGCCCTAGATTGACTAAGAAACGTTAGCCAGCGTGGGCCCCAAGCAGTGGTATCTCTAGCAATCTATATATGTCGTGCGATCTATGCGGAACAGTCTATGTGGTGCAATCTACGTGGCCCTGGATCGACTGACAAACGACGGCATAAGCATGTGCTCTCAGAGATCCGCGTGGATCTCGTGGCTCGGCGTTGGGCCCCCTGGCGGCGTCTCGCGCTCCGCGCGCCAGGGTGGGGCGCCCAGGAAATCCGCGCGGAGCTCCGACCGTTTTTGTTTTTTTTTTTGTTTTTTTTATTTGTTCCGTTTTTCGTTTCTTTGCTTCGGAGGGGCCCTGAGTCGGCTGCGGGCGAGGGGGGGTAAGCGAGAAGGAGAAGGCCTTCTCAGAAGGCGGCGGGGCTTCTCAGAAGCCCTCGCGCGTTCCGAGAAGTTTGATGTGTCTTCGGGGAAGGCCCAGAGCATCTCTCGGAAGGCCGGGGGACTTCCGAGCCTTCTCCCTCTCCCCCCCGGACTCGCCGCCGACTGAAGAGGCTTCTCGGGGCCGCGAGAGTGCACGAACGGAGCGCCCGACCTCGCCCCCCCCCCCCCCTCCGCGGAGCACCGCCCGAGCCCAGGCCGCCTGCGTCCCGCGCTCTTGCCGCCCGCCGCTGGCTGGGCCGCTGCAGGGCCACGCGGGCGATGCCGAGTCGTGGGAGCTGGTTGCGACCGCAAAAGGGGCTCGAGTTCGCCCCCTGCCACCACACGACGTGGTGTCAGGGACCATCGTCCACGCCGAAACGGCAAGAGCCAGCTGCAACCAGGGGGCCTGTGGAGGCCAGCCGGGGCTTTGTTCTCGTTCGGGCGCGGGGACATTTATTGTTCTAGCCTAAGGCTGTTCCACGAATCCCTTGCAAACAATGGGACGAGGTGCACACGCGCGCGTCCTCGACCTTCGGTGTCGGAAGGATTTCGCAATCGAGTTCCCCAAAAACATACAAAAACACAAGGTTTCGCAACACTGTTTTTGCTAAAAAACCTTACGCGCGAGCTCTGGCCAAATCTTAAGAAAACCATAGGTTTTTCAAGATTTCCACAAGATGCTACCAAACGGGCTTCGCGCGCGCATGTCGAAATCTGTCGAACGCCCTTGCGCGTGTGCCGTCGCGAGAATCCTCTGCAAAAAATGGGACGAAGTGCAGACGCGCGTGTCGTCGCGCGCGTATGCCGAAATCCTTCAAAACCCATCGGCGTCGGAAGGACTTTAACATCGTGTGCCCGAAAAACCTACAAAATCACAAGGTTTCGCAACACGGATTTTCAACAAAAGCGTGCGCGCGCGCGCTCTTGCGTCGTCGTCAACGTCGTCGCCGTCCTCCTTCCTCCCGCGTTGTCGTCGTCGTCGTCGCCTACGTCGTCCTCTGTCTTTTCTCGTGTTGGTCGTCGTCGTCCTCTTTGGCGTCGTGGTCGTTTCCTTCGTCGTTGTCGCCGTGGTCGTCCTTCCTCCTCCTCCCTCGTCGTCGTCGTCTTCCGTCGTCGGCGTCTCGTCGTCGTCCCTCCTATTTCGTCGCCGTCGTCGTCGTCGTCGTCGTCGTCGTCGTCGTCTTCCCTCCTCCCTCGTCGTCGTCGTCGTCGTCATCGTCGTTGTCGTCGTCGTCGTCTTCCCTCCTCCCTCGTCGTTGTCGTCGTCGGCGTCGCCGTCCTTCCTCCTTCTTCGTCGTTCGCGTCGTCGCCGTCCTCCCTCCTCCCTCGTCGTTGTCGTCGTTGTCGTCGTTGTCGCCGTCGTCGTCCTCCCTCCTCCCTCGTCGTCGTCTTCGTTGGCGACGTAGTCGTCGTCTTCGTCGTCGTCGTCGTCGGCGTAATCGTCGTCGTCGTCTTCGTCGTCGTCGACGTCGGCGTCGTCGTCGTCGCCGCCGTCGTCGTCGTCGTCGTCGTCGTCGTCGTCGTCGTCGTCGTCGTCGTCGTTGATGTCGTCGTCGTCGGTGTCGCCCGGAGACGACGTCGGTGTCATCGTCGTCGTTGTCGGCGGCGTCGTCGTCGTCGTTGTCGCTGTCGTCGTCGGCGTCGCTGTCGTTGCCAAGTTCCATTTGGTACCCACCGTCACGGTCTTACGAGATTGTGCAAACCAAGTTGCGGGTGGGTGGGTGGGATGTTTGCGCGAGCAGTGGAGTGGACAACTCACTGCGAACAGAAATTACTAAAAAGAGAATAGAGTCTACCCCCCCGACGTTATCCCCACCCCTTTTGGGTTGTGTAAATCATTTATGATTCGCACCACATGTTCATCCTAAATATGAATTTGCACTATCCCAGGGGGGCCGGTATCGCTCCCCCTGAGGTTCCCAAAAACAATACGCGGGGACATTTTTTGTTCTAACATAAGACTTTTTCACGAATCCCTTGCAAACAATGGGACGAAGTGCAGACGCGCGCGTCGTCGCGCGCATGCCGAAATCCTCCAAAAACCTTCGGTGTCGGAAGGATTTCGCAATCGAGTTTCCAAACAACATACAAAACACAAGGTTTCGCAACACTAATTTTGCTAAGAAAGCTTACGCGCGAGCTCTGGCCAAATCTTAAGAAAACCATGTTTTTTTTTCAAGATTTTCACAAAATGCTACCAAACGGGCTTCGCGCGCGCATGTCGAAATCTGTCGAACGCCCTTGCGCGTATGCCGTCGCGAGAATTCTTTGCAAAAAATGGGACGAAGTGTAGACGCGCGCGTCGTCGCGCGCGTATGCCGAAATCCTTCAAAACCCATCGGCTTCGGAAGGATTTCACAATCGTGTGTCCAAAAAACCTACAAAAGGGTGCGCGCGCGCTCTTGCGTCGTCGTCGTCGTCGTCGTCGCCGTCCTCCCTCCTCCCGCGTCGTCGTCGTCGTCGTCGCCTACGTCGTCCTCTGTCTTTTCTCGTGTTGGTCGTCGTCGTCCTCTTTGGCGTCGTGGTCGTTTCCTTCGTCGTTGTCGCCGTGGTCGTCCTTCCTCCTCCTCCCTCGTCGTCGTCGCCTTCCGTCGTCGGCGTCTCGTCGTCGTCCCTCCTATTTCGTCGCCGTCGTCGTCGTCGTCGTCGTCGTCGTCGTCTTTCCTCCTTCCTCCTCGTCGTCGTCGTCGTTGTCGTCGTCGTCGTCGTCGTCTTCCCTCCTCGCTCGTCGTTGTCGTCGTCGGCGTCGCCGTCCTTCCTCCTTCTTCGTCGTTCGCGTCGTCGCCGTCTTCCCTCCTCCCTCGTCGTTGTCGTCGTTGTCGTCGTTGTCGCCGTCGTCGTCCTCCCTCCTCCCTCGTCGTCGTCTTCGTTGGCGACGTCGTCGTCGTCGTCGTCGTCGTCGTCGTCGCGTCGTCGTCGTCTTCGTCGTCGTCGACGTCGTCGTCGCCGCGTCGTCGTCGTCGTCGTCGTCGTCGTCGTGTCGTTGTCGTCGTCGTCGTCGTCGGCGTCGCCGTCATCGTCGTTGGCGTCGTCATCGTCGTCGTCGTTGTCATCGTCGTCGTCGTCGTCGGCGTCGGCGTCGTCGTCGCCGTCGTCGGTGTCGTCGTCGTCGTCGTCGTCGTCGTCGTCGTCGTCGTCGTTGTCGGCGTCGTCGAAGTCGTTGGAGACGTCGTCGGTGTCGTCGTAGTCGTTGTCGGTGGCGTCGTCGTCGTCGTTGTCGCTGTCGTCGTCGGCGTCGCTGTCGCGTTGCCAAGTGCCATTTGGTACCCACCGTCACGGTCTTAAGAGATTTTGCAAATCAAGTTGCGGGTGGGTGGGTGGGATGATTGCGCGAGCAGTGAGTTGACAACTACAAGTTCGGCAAGTGAATTACACCTGGTAGATTACACCACAGATATTGCACCACGCAGATAGCACCATGTCGATTGCACCACATGAATTGCATAACGCGATTTCCAACACGCAGATTGCACCACGTCGATTGCACCACATAGATTGCGCGCCGCATGCGCTAAATCACATATATTGAACCACGCATATTGCACATAGGTTGCATTCTATAGATTGCACCACGTAGATTGCACCACGTAGGTTGCACCACGTAGAAAACTCTTCAAATATAGCACAACGAGTATATTGCCTGCTGCGCGCCGTTTGGGGTGCTCGTTCGCTATACTTGCCGTTTGATTTGTTGAGAATGGTTTTTGCTTCTCATAGGGGGTCCAGGGGGTTTCCGAGAACATTTAGGACCGTCTTGGAACGGTATTTGGGGCCCCTTGGCGCATTTTGGAAGCATTTTTAAACCGTCTATCTTGAGCCATTTTGGATGCCATCTCGGAGCGTCGGATAACCTTTTGGAACCATATGATTCCATTCTGGCCGCCATGACCGCTCGCGGACCCCCCAAAGAAATTTCAGGGAGGGGAGGGGGAGGATTCTTCTTCACAAAGGGAACGTTTTTTTTCCCCCCGACATGGACAGGACAATCTCGTTAGACCATCTACACCGAGAGACCGAGAGTGCAGTTGGGATTTCTAACGTCTGGACCATGAATGGTGAAGAGGTCTGATGCGAAACGCCAGGTCAGCCGTACCGACACGCCTGAGTGTATGGAGGGGGAGGAGGAAGAGGAGGGAGAGGAGGAGGAAGAGGACGAGGAAGAGGAAGAGGAGGACGACGAGGAGGAAAAGGAGGAGGCCGAGGAGGAGGGGGAGGAGGAGGAGGACGAGGAGGAGTAAAAGGAGGAGAAGGACGAGGAGGAGGAGGAGGGGGAGGAGGAAGAGAATGAGGAAGACGAGGAAGAGGAAGAGGATTATTATTTACATGAGTGATACTCATAATTCCGATCAGCTAAGCATACTACGAATACTTTGATTGCTACTACTCATGATAACACGACTAGTAGTGTTAATCATAATATTATTAATAAGATAAAACACTAATAATCATGCTAATCAGGGTAATCTTACGATTGGTAATACTTATAGGGGGTACTAACACGAATGCGCACACGAATACTAATACTCAACATGCGAATCATACTATTCATAATAATCATTTCCAGAAGTCGGGTGAGACAACTAGCGCTGATACCAATCTTAATTTGGTATATAATAATAGCAATCATACTCGTCTCAATATTACAGATAAGAAGCATCAGACGAACAACGCTGACATTACTAGACAGATGCAGAAGGGGAATGCCAATGATCATCATAAGAACAGTAACCCATGTTACATTAAGAGTACTGCTATGCGTAGTAGTAGTAATAAGGGGGCATACTAGTAATACCAAACATAGTAACTGCGAATGCGACTCAGACTGATATTAGGAACAGTAAGTACTAGTAATAATATGAAGCATACGAGCAACATGATCAACATCAAGAGTAAGGGTTCAACTAATAAGACGGATACTGACTGTACTACTAACACGAATAATGACCTTCACACTAGTAATCGTACTAGGAACGATAAATATAAAAAGGAAGAATATGATGCTGCTGCTGCTGATGATGATGATGCTGCTGATGCTGATGCTGATGCTGATGCTGATGCTGATGATGCTGATGATTATGATGATGATGATGATGATGATGATGATGATGATGATGATGATGATGATGATGATGATGATGATGATGATGATGATGATGATGATGATGATGATGATGATGATCATCAGGGAGGAGGAGGAGGAGGAGGAGAGGAGGAGGAGGAGGAGAGGAATGAGGAGGAGGAGGAGGAGGAGGAGGAGGAGTAGGAGGAGGAGGAGGAGGAGGAGGAGGAGGAGGAGGGAGAGGAGGAAGAGGCGGAGGCGAGAGGCGGCTGCGACTGCGGAGGCGGCTGCGTAGGCGAGAGACGAAGGCGGAGGCGGAGGCCTCCGTCGGGCACGCCAGCCCGCCCGCGCCGCCCGCGCCAGTTCCAAGCTCCCCCGCCGCAGTAATGGCGGAGAGGCGCGTGGATCCCGAGGACGGCGCCACGTGCGCCCGCGCCCGCGGGGGCGAGGCGCGCCGCGGCGGCAGGAACCCGCGAGACCCCCCCACTGGGCCTTCGCGGCGACGGCGACGGCGACGGCGACGGCTGCGACGGCGACGGCGACGGCTGCGACGGCGACGGCGACGGCGGCGACGGCGACGACGACGACGGCGACGGCGACGACGACGACTGTGCGGACGGGGCGCTCGTGGCGCAGGGCCCGCACGTCGTGATAGGAGCAGCCAGCGGAGCCGGCGGCCGGGCCTGCCAGCGCGGGACGGCGGTCACCCCTCGTCGTCCTCGCCTCTCCGCCCCGCTCCCCGCGAGGTACACCTGGGACGAGCTGAGCCAGTTCTACAAGGGGAAGTACAAGAAGAAGGAGATCGAGGCCCGCCCGCTGCCCCCCCCCTCCCCTCCTCCTCCCCTCGGCCGCCTCCCGCGCCAGCCTCCTGTGGCCGTCCGCCTCCCTCCCGCCCTCTTCCCGCCCTCCTCCCGAGCCCTCCCTTCGCCCCCTCCCCCTGTCGGCCTCGCAGCCTCCAAGGGGTGTTGCGGGGCGGCTCCGCGGCGGGGGGGAAGCGGGGCAGAGCGAGGGGGGGGGGAGCGCATCCTCCCCAACCTCCACGCCTTTCTCCACGCCCCCGCCTGCTCCTCCTTCCCTCCTGCGCCTCCTCGCCCCCGCTCCACTTCTCGCCCTCGTCTCCGTACGTCGTCGTCGTCGTCGTCGTCGTCGTCGTCGTCGTCGTCGTCGTCGCCGTCGTCCTGCTCCTCTTGTACTTCCCCTCCTCCCCCTCCTCGTCTTTGTCCTCCTTCTCCCTGTCGTCGTCGTCCTCGTCCTCGTCCTCGTCGTCGTCGTCGTCGTCGTCGTCATTGTCACAGCCGCCGCCGTTGCCGTTCTCCTACTTCCTCCTGCTTCTGCTGCTCCTCCTTCTCCTCCTCCGCCCCTTCGCAGTCTCGCAGTCTCGACCCACCCGCGATGAGGATGAGGGCTTCGACGAGAAGACGAGGGCTGCGCTCGTGCAGAGGTGAGTACCGTGGCGTGAGAGGCTCGCGTCGTTCCCCGCTCCCGCTCGCCCAGAGAGGGATCCAGCGGGGAGCCGCGCTGCCACATGGCGTAGCCGCTTCTCGCCATCGCGTCCTTTCTGTGGCCACGAACGTCGAGCACGTTCGGCGCAGTACCGCTGTTCCCATACGCTGTCGGGAGCTTCCCTCTGGTGCTCTCCACCTAGACCCCTCGGCGCCTGTCACTCCGCCTCCCCTCTTCTCTTCCCTGTCCTTCTCGCGCGCTTCCCTCTGACCGGCAGGCCTACTGGGAGACTTGCAAGCCCGCGAAGAGGGCCAAGTCGAAGGCGAAGTCCAAGGCGATGGCGGCGCGGGGACGCTGGCAGAGTGTGTTTGGTGAGCAGACGGCTCGCAGCCCGGGCGCTGGCTCCTGGGCAGCCCCCGCTGGCAGCAAGCGTGGTCGCTTCCCCACCCACGGGAGGCATGGGACACGGGTCAGGGGATGGGAAACGGCTTTTTCGTGCCCAGCATGGTCCAGGCTATTTTGGGACCAGTATACGTACAGCTGCCCATATACATGTGTGCGCGCGTACGCATTCACAAGCGTATCGCACGCATGTGCCTACAGGCCTACATGCCTACATGCATAAGTGCTCACATCTGTAGGCTCGAACATCCACACATGTCTGTGCGTGTGCACGTACGCCCCATGCATGTACTTCCACGTGTGTGTCGACATGAAGTCTTGCATACGTAGGCCTGCTGCTGTGTCCGTCTGCGCATATTGCTATCCAGCCGCCCGCGACAGTCCCGCCATCGTTCCGTGGCCGTTTTGAAAGAGCGCCGGAGGTGTGCTCGTACATCCCCCCTCTCCCCGCCCTAAAGGGGGGGGGGAGAGCTTCCGGACCCCTCCCCTCCCTTTTCAAGGGGTGGGTGGGGGTTTCGGACCCCTCCCCCCTTTGCGCTGGAGAGGAGGGGGAGGGAATTTCGACCCCCCCCCCTGCCCCCCTTTGCGCCAGAGCGGGTTCGAGTGGGGGGGGACCCCCCCGCTCCTATTCCTTTGCGTGGGTAAGTTGTCAGGGTAAGGGTAGGGGTGTAAGGGGTTTGGGTGTTAGGGTTAGGCCGGTAGGGTTCGGGTTAGGGTGTTCTGGCAAGAGTGTTAGGGTCAGGGAGGTAGAGTTTAGGATAGGGCGGTAGGGTTAGGGTCAGGGTGTTAGGGTTAAGGTGTTAGGATCAGGGTGTTAGGCTTAGGGTGGTAGGGTTATGGTGTTAGGGTTAGTGTGTTAAGGTCAAAAGAGCTTGCGCGGATCAATCCCTCCCGCCCTAAGCCCTTCCCATAAGATCGACCGTCTCAATAAGGTCCATATCAATCTGCTACTTGACGCCTCTTGCGGTGACGAGGACGGCGAAGATAGGGATGTGAATGCTGCTGCTGCGGGTGGCGACGGCGAGCCTGGGCGCGCGCTTGAAGCCCGTGGGACGCCTGGGGCCTCGGTGAAGATCAGCAGATGTGCACCGCGTCGTATTTTTGCATAAGATGGTGAGAGTTGGCTCGACGCGTCTTTTTATATAGCATCATGAGGGCTGGATTGGTGCAAAGATCAGCAGATGTGCACGGAACTGTTTTGTTTGTATTGCATCTTCTCATTTTTTTCATACGGGTGTCAGCCAGCGTGGACTCCGAACATTGAGTTCCTGCAATCTATGCGGTACAATCTAGGTGGTGTCATCAATGTGGTGCTATCTAGGTGGTGCATCCATGTGGTGCAATCGATGTGGCGCAAAGCAATGCAAAGCACTGCAACACAATGCCCAGCAATGCAACACAATGCAAAGAACTGCAAAACAATGCAAAACAATTACCTTCAGGGAGAAGCAGTGCAAAGCAGTGAGAAGCTGTGCAAAGCAATGCCAAACAATGCAGAGCAATGCAATGCAGAGCAATGCAACGCAAATCAATGCAGCGCAAGGCAAAGCAAGGCCACGCAAAGCAGAGCAACGCGCACCAATAGAAAAGCAGCGCAAAACAACCCAGAGAACGCCATGTACAACAGTACGATGTAGTGCAACGCCGTTCAAAGTAAAGCCTGCCCAGACGGCGACGGGGGGCGGCGACGGCGACCGCATAGCCGCCAGACCGACGGGCAGGGCCAGAGCGACGGGACGGCGACGGCGACCACGCAGCCGCCAGACCCACGCGCAGGCCCAGATGACGGGCGGTGACGAGGCGGCGACGGGGCAGCGACGGCGACAATAAGGCGGCGGACCCGGCAACCAGACCCAGTACCTTAACAAAGAAATGAGAGCCCTTGAGTCTCAGCACTGTCCAGGGAATGTGCGCGCCGCTACGGTGAACCCCCATTTTGAAGATGATCCGCTCTGCAGTCTTGAAGAACCTGCTGCGAACTTGAGGACGACTGGGCGCGGCGCTACGACGAGAGCCGCGCTTTCAAAATGAGCTGGCCTTCATTTTTGAAGCCGTCGCGAACTTCTGAGATGAATGTGCGCGACGCTACGGCGAGAACCGCCTTTTGAAGACAAACCAGCCTTCATTCTTGAAGTTGTCGCGAACATCTAAGATGAAAGTGCGCGGCGCTGTGGCGAGAGTCGTATTTTGAAGACGAGCCAGCCTCCACTCTTGAAGCTGTTGCAACTGATTGCGCCGAATGTGTTCGGCGCTGCGGCGAGAGCCGCATCTTGAAAACGGGCTGGCCTCCATCCTTGAAGCTGCTGGAGTTGTTTCAGCTCCAGGATGGTAGTTTGCAAGGTAGTCTCAAGCGAACCTCCCGACCTGGCCGACGGACACGTCTGTTGGTGCGACAGGGGAGAGATATACACAAGGAGGAGGGGTGGGGGAGCATGAGTAGCAGGGGGAGAAGGAAGAGGAGGAGTATGTGAAATACGAGGGTCTTGAGGATTAGGAGGTGGAGGGGGAGGAGCATGGGTAGGCGGTGCATGGGGGGAGGAGGGCGAGATTGCGAAGGGAGGGTTGTAGGCTCAGGACGACGACTCTCGCCTCGCGAGCTTCTCGTCTCTCCAGGTCGCCTCCTGTCTGGCACCCTGTGACCCTGTCTCCTCCGCGACCATCCCTGTGAACGGTAAGCGCCTTGGTGGTTTGAACCCGTGGGCACACCCTCGCCACGCGGAGCAGATCGGAGCCACTGTCGCCTTCGTCCGACTCTGCCCACTCCTGCCCCCTGGCATCCCTGGGGCCGAGGCCGGGGCCGGGCCGCTGCTCGGCCCCGCGCGAGCGCGCGAGCGCCCCGGCCGAGGCCGAGCCGAAGGCCAAGACCAAGGCCAAGGCCAAGGCGAAGGCGCGCCCCTTCTCGGGCCTCCTCCGGCCCGGCCCGGCGCGGCCACGTTCTGGTCTGGCCCAGTGGGGTCTGATGTGGTGTCGCCTGGTGAGGCCTGCTCGACGATCGACGCTCGATCCATGCCTTCGGATGCAACTCCTGGGAGGTCGAATTCTGATTTAGCCCGGGTCCGAAATCCGGCTTAATCCGGCTTAATCCCGCCTAATCCCGTTTAATCCGACTTAATCCCGCTTGATCCGAGGCCCACTCTGACGTAACAGCCCCCCAATGGGGCTTAATCCTCCTTATTCCTTCCGACGAAGACCTTCCAGTAGTTGCCTCCGAACATACCCCTGCTTCTGCCCCCCGCTCTGGGCCCAGGGGAAGCCTGGCATGCGTAAAAAACTGTGGCCCTGGAGGCCAGGAGTCCATCCGTATATCCCCGCTCTGGCTCTCCGTGGGGTCGGGGCGCGAGCAGGGGCATGGATACAACGGCGATCGCCCATGGCCTGGCCTGGTCTGGTCTTAGGTCGGGCCTGTCCCCCCACATGGGAATTTTGGACGATACAAATATTTAAAGAATGCTCGAAAGACGCCCCAAACTACTCAAACAATAGTCGCCAGACTTTTTTTTGACTATTTTTGAATATTCCCCCTGTAGAGGGACAAGCCCGACTTAAGTCTGGTCCGATGCGGTCTTGAAGCAAGTGGGGCCGAGGAGGAGGAGGAGGAGGAGGAGGAGGAGCGGGCTCATGTCAGAGTTGGAAACTCTTACGCGCTACCATGGAGTTCTTGATTTCTGCTTGGAAGCTTGGACTTCCTGCGGTCATGGAACACCCGGCCCCGGCTGAACACAGGGCGGATGTCCCCAGCAGTTGGCATCTCCCCGTGATGAGACTGTTGGCCCGTCAGTTAGGGGTGAAGCTGCACCGCATTGATCAGTGTATGTTTGGGCAACGGGCCAAAAAGCCGACCTCTCTGTTGGGTGTCCATGTCCCCATGATGGAACATATTCTCCAGGAGTTGCCTCACCACGGGAGATGCCAGCAACGTGCTCACGTTACAGAATGTTTGATTCTTGTTTTGAATTTAATGTTTTTTTTATTCGGTTTGGATTTTGTTTCGATTTTTTGACTTTTGAATTCCGTTTTGATTTTTGTGGAATTTGTGTCAATTTTTGGTAACTTTGGATCAACCCGGGCGCCGCTCAGGTTGGCCCAGAGCCACCCGGAGCGGCGCCCGGGGGGGGCGAGGTCTTCTGGGGTCCTGGGGCATTCTGGCGTCATCCTGTACCAGAAAAACCCACTCCTCACCTCCTGCTCCTCGCCCTCCCCTTTCCATCCTCCTCCCTTTCTTTTCTTCCTTCGTCTTCTCCTTCTTTCCCTCCAGAAGTTCACGAGCCGTTCTCCTGCGTAGATTGTCTTCAAAGTTAGCAGCCAGTCCACGACGACGATAATCAAGGGCCCAACCGCAGGGCCCGCGACAGAGGGGGTGACCCGACAGCGACGGCCCAGATGACAGCGAACCGAACGGTGAAGGTGGCGAGCCCTAGGACCCTAGGACCAGGAACTGTTTTTGTGTAGGTCTTGAAGCCTCTCTTGGAGGTATGCCGGAGGCTATCTTGGGATTTTGGGCCATCTTGAAGTATCATGGGCCATCTTGGAGGCCATCTTGAGCTCTCTGAGGCCCTCGTGATTCTTGGCGCCATCTCGGGCAATCGGTCGCCACCCGGGAGGGGCGGGGCAAAACAGCTTGTTAAATCACCTACGCCTGTGGCGGGATGATCGGAGACGCCTGTGGCGACTCACCGCGGCCCTCCGCTTTTCTTTGGGATGTGAGAAGTTCGTTTGGGACAGGGCGCGCGTGCGCGCGTGGGCGAGGGGGGGGCCCTTCTGTATTCTGGGATCCTGGGGGCCCCATCTTTTGAAGGCATGCGTTTGCGCCCGCGTCCGTCGCCTCTGTTCGCTCCCCCCTGGCGTTGCAAAAGAAACAACATTGAAAGCTCAGACTTCGATCGCCGCGAGGGGCCACACTCGATCTGATATGTGTCAAAGTATGTTGCTCGTCGTGCCGTTTGCCATAATTTCTTGTGGCTCGCACTCTCCGCTTCCCAGGCCCTACCTTGAAATGTGGGTTCATGTAGGATGTTAGATTGTTGTTGCATTTTCTGCGTACTTTAATTTTTTAATCACTAATTTTAAGTCTGAGTTTGAATTGTTTTCCGAATTTCATGTGAATTTTTTGGTGTAGTTTGAAATTTACCGCGAACAATTGTAAATCATTTTCGCCAGCTGGCCCAGGGACCGTCTTTGGCTCAAAATGCTGCCCCGAATGCTAGACTTTGGAGTGCTCTGCACGGGATTGTCTTGTGGTTCCGCGATGCCTACCGGTCAAGTGCACCCGTGGCCTGCCCTTCCGCCATGCCGTGCCCTATCCTTTCTACATTTCTCCCTGAAGCCTTTTTGAAGTGTCGAGGCGCCTGCTCGGTGCTTGCCTCCTCGAGGCAGGCCCGCAGCCCGCGGCACTGGCCTGCGCCGTCCCCGTGCCGCGTTTCTCGAGACAAGTTGCCTGCCTTGAAAATCTGTTGAACAGCGGAACCTTCAATGACTGCGCGCGGCTTTAAGGCGAGAGCTGCATTTTGAGAACGGCACGCCCTCGATTTTTGAAACTGTTGCAAACTTGCGAGCTTCAGAATCACATTTGGTGAGGAAGACTCAGGCGAAACGCTTGAGCACGCCCTACAGACTGGCCTCGGCGTGCGACTAGGAGGAGTTATCTATAAGGGAGAGGGATGGAGATGGACGAGGGGTTGGAGGAGTAGGTCTAACAGGGGGATGAGGATGATGATGTGGAGGAGGATGAGGAGGAGGAGGACGAGGAAGAGGAGGAGGAGGAGGATCAGAGTTGGAGTAGTGGGTCTGGCGCACATGGGTCGGCGGTGAGAGGTGCAATCATTCGTTCATAGTGTATTATTGAGTGGTTCAGTACGCACTAAGTGCGATGGGCACGATCTGTTGAGCGGGCAGCAAATAATTCGTTTGTTAAAAGATACACGACCGCATCCGCGCGCACCTCCTGGTTCCAGCGCGAAAGCTATTGCCTCCAGGCGCCAAGTCTTGCAAGTACTGTTGCACCTCTCCCCGTGGACCCATCTGCGGCAGACCCACTGGTCCGACTTCACGAGGAGGAGGCGGAGGAGGAGGGAGGACGATGGAGGAGGAGGGAGGACGATGGAAGAGGATGAATGAGGAGGGTGTAGGAGGAAATTGAGGCTACGGGGACGTGGATGTGGAGGAGGCAATGACGACGACGCGGCGCTCTTTGGGCAAAACCAAGGCCGAGGCTGAGCCGAAAGCCAAGGCAAAGGTGAAGGCCAAGGCCAAGGCCACCACCGCCGCCCCGCTGGCCCTTCTGCCCTCTATGGACTCAAAGGGAGGAGGGACGAGGCAGAACGTGAGAGGCGGGCGAGGAGGATGATATGGAGCTCGGAGGGAGGGGATTGTGGTACGTGCGCGGCGTTAAAGCGAGAGCCACATTTTGACAATGGCCCGCCCTCCATCTGAAAAGCTGTGGCAATTTTGCAGCTTCAAGATCACACTTGGTGAAGAAGTCTCACGCGAATCGCCCTGCCCGCCCTACCTGGGTGCGACAGTGGGGGGTTGTGTTGTAAGGGGCAGGGATGGAGGAGGAGGAGGAGCAGGAGGAGGAGAAGAGGAGGAACTGCCTGCCGATCCCCTGGCGCCCGCCCCCCCCCCAGGCGGAGCCCAAGGCGAAGGTGACCGGGCCCGCGCGCGCGCGCGCTCGTCTCGGCCGCGCGGTGGGATGAGAAGGAGGAGGACGAGGAGGAGGAGGAGAAGCAGGATGATGATGATGATGATGATGATGATGATGATGATGATGATGATGATGATGATGATGATGATGATGATGAGGATGATGATGATGATGAGGGTGATGATGATGATGCTGATGATGGTGGTGATGGTAGTGGTGGTGGTGGTGATTGTGGTGATGATGCTGTGCTGATGATCCTGGTCCTGCTGCTGATGATGACGGTGATGATGGTGATGGTGCCGACCATGAAGACGGTGATGACGATGGACATGATGATGATGATGATGATGATGATGCTGATGCTGATGATGATGATGCTGGTGGTGAGGATGGTTCTGATGATGGTGGTTATGACGATGAGGATGATGGTGAGGATGATGATGATGATGATGATGATGATGATGATGATGATGATACTGAATATTCTGATGATGATGACGATGCCGATGATGGTGCTGATGATGATGATGCTGATGCTGATGCTGATGCTGATGATGATGCTGCTGATGATGACGATGATGATTATGGTGGTGGTGGTGATGAAGATGGTGTTTATGAGGATGCTGGTGAGGATAATGATGATGACGACGATGACGGTGAGGGTGAGGATGAAGACGATGATGTTGCTGCTGCTAATGATGAGATGCTGTTGATGATGCTCATGATTCTGATGATGTTGATGATCATGATGATGGTAATGATGATGACGATGCTGATGATGCCAGTGATGATAATTTTGCTGCTGCTGATGAGGATGATGATGGTAATGATGCTGATGATGATGATGATGATGATGATGATGATGCTCACGGTGATGATGATTATGCCGATCATTACGACGGCGACGACGATGGGTACGATGATTGTAATTAAGATGATGATGCTGCTGCTGATGATGAGATGTATGTTGATGATGGTGGTGGTTGTGGTGATGATGATGTTGATGCTCCTGCTGATGAGGATCATGATGACGATGAAAATGGTGGGGATGTTGCGAATAGTGATTATGATGGTGAGGATGCTGAGGACGATGATGATGATGGATCTTCTGATGATGCTGCTGATGCTGACGATAACGATGGAGAGAACGATCATAATGATGATGATGGTGATGATGGTGACGATGCTGATGATGATGATTCTGATGCTGATGATGACGGTGATGTTGACGGTGGTGATGACAGTGCTGATGATGCCGATCATGACGACGGCG